GACATTCGGGCAATCACTCCACCACGGAGCAAAGAACAGGATGCGACGCAACTGCTGTCTTTAGCAAAGCTGGATTCCACAAAGCTTCACCGCCGCTCCCCGCGCAAGCTCATGCACGAGGTGCCGACCGATGCCTCAGAAAGAACAGTAGGAACACTCACTGTCACCGACTGCTACATCACGTACACTTTGGAAGCTCAAGAGCTTCTACCGAGATTCTACGGAAAAAAGATACATTTCACCCAGATACGTAGGCCGTTGCACACGGCTGCCTTGTCATCCAGGAACCTCGGCTAGCATTTGGGCTCTGCATACGAAGAGCAAGTGGTGCCGCAAGTAATGCAATATGACACTGCATGACCGAGCAGCCAATGTACCAAAGCCACAAAAGCTGGACCAGCTCCTCCAGAGACGAAACTCCGCATGTAGTCCAGACCACCGTGGACCAAGAGCCACCCTTCCCAAGTGTCCTTCGCCCGTCCCTCGATTCCGTGGGCGAACTTTACTTTAGCAAGCTGCAGGCCACTCAGCGCATAGCCTCCGTCCAGCAGCGTCAGCCCAGTAATGCGCAGCACCCATCCCAGAGCAGACGAGAAGGGTATCGTCACCAGCAAGAGTGTGAGGACCAGCATTCCATGTGCAAACGAGCTCCATGCCAAGAAACTGATGCAACGGTTCAGCTGATCCCATACGAACTCAGAAGACAAGTCCCATCTCGAGAGAACTTGGTCTAAGGGTTCAAGATGGCTCAAGATCTCGGGCTTGCTTTCCCACCACACTGCCTGGCCGACGGTCGAAAGCAGCAGCGCTAGGCCAAGGCAGATGATCATTCGGCTGAAAGTCTGAAGGTGTCTAGTCAAATTGAACCCCCTGAGCTAAGCGGTCTGCGGAATGATAGATGAAGGGAACCCGCTTGGAGGACCGGGTGGAGGGGAACGGAACGCCTCTTTTTAATTCGCGGTCACAGCTTGAAGCCTGCGAAGCCTGCGACGTGCGAGTCCGAGGCCCAGAGGCCTGGGATGTATCGCGTTCTTTGGAAGAGCTGGCGCCAGGGAACGCAGCGGAGCAAGGACGCTCCGGTGACTTCCTCCACTTTTCGTAGCCGGCCCAGGAGCAGCCTCAGAGCTTCGGCGAAAAGTTTCTGATCCCTCTCTGTCTCAGCATCAATGCGGGCCAGCAGGTCAACGTGCAAGCGCTCCGCTTCAAGTGCCTTCTGCCCATGGGTGAACTTGGGCAGCGCCAGGCGCGAGACCGATCCGCAGTCGCAGGAGCGCGGCAAGCTGCCATTGGACTGATAATGTAAAAGGCAAATGCTGTGCTCAAAGAGATCCGTCAGCCCAACCCAGTCAAAGCGCCGAAGCGTTTCCAAGGCGCCATCGATAGACGGCAGAGCCTCCTCGGAGTGCAGGTCCCGAAAGTGCTGCCCAAAGCTGCCCTGTGACGTCCGGCAGCTCAACGCATGCGTCTGCAAGTTTCGCAGAAAGGGAATGACTTGCACCTGCGCTTGTTCACTGCGGTTTAGATGTTCGAGCTGGCTGCGGAGGTCTTCGATAGGGTCAGGCTTGAAGTGAGTGCAGTAGCTGCCGCAGGCAGCCTCCGTCACTCGCAAAAGCCCCTCGGCTGCGTACTGAGGCAGGTCGTCCCACATCCTCTTCCAGGTGTTGTGGTGCGCCATGTGACAGTGGGAGAAAAGAGAGAGGACGTGCGATCTTGGCGAACGGAGGATGGTGCCCTTCAGTAGCGGACCGTGTGACTTCGGCGTCGCCTCCAGCACATCCAGGGCACAGCACTCCTGGGTTGTAGTTTGGGGGCCGGCACCGCTATAGGAACTACAAAGGGAATTTACAAAAGTTTCCCAAAGTGCAACCTAGACTCACAGTTAGCCGCACAAAGTGCCAGTGTCACTGCCCGGGACAAGGCCAGACATAGGGGCATCTTGGCCGTAGTCTCGGGCCACAGCCGGGCCCCTGCTGCAGCGGCCCTGCACGCGCCGTAGGCCAGCGAAGGCGCCGGCTGGTTGGCCAGGTGAAGTTCCAGGGACTCCCCACCTGTCTTCACAACGTGTAAGAAATGAAGAGCCGCCGCCGTACCATTGAAGACTCTGACGGGAACTGCGGGCGGCAGAATGCTGGGCAAGTCCGATGAAAGAGGTTCAAGCTTCGGCAACTCATCGAGCTTCAGGCGGTAGAGCACTGCTGAGATCAGGTCTTGCCAGTCCTCGGGCAGCCAAGCTGCAAGATGATGCAAGAATTGCATATCAGACTGCACAGAGATTGCAGGAAGAACACAATTTTGCCTTAACCAGGGTCCAGATTCTGGGCCTGTGCCTGTGATCGGGTTCAGATACACTCGTTCGCAGTAAGTGAGGTGGCCAGCGCGCTCGACGTGGTCATCTTCAACCACTGAGCAACCAGCCACAGCTTGTCCCAGCTGCTCACAGATCGCAGGAGTCCTGGTGAATGCCCACGTAACGAACCGATCCTGTGGAAAGTCAAAGCTCGTTACTCCCAGGCTCGTGGCACGGATGCTCATGTGAGTCTTGCTCAGTGTTGGGCGTCCACTCTTGAGCACGGCCACACTCCCATAGATCGACGCATTCAGTAGGCGATGGTTCACCGCACTTACCAGGTGCAATTCATCCCCCGACATCTCCAGCATATCGATTACGTCGCTGTCCTCGAGGATGTTGGGCCCAAAATAGGCTGCATCAGGGCAATCCCCCAGGCACTCGGTGCCCTCCTGCCTCGGCTCTTTACGACGAGTAACATAAGCACAACTCAAAACTCACACATCGAACGGGAAGTTGGTGCGGCTGACTTGAGGAGAGGCTCAGGCACTGCAAGCCTTGGATCATAAGCGGCTCAAAGCGGGTGGGTTGCAGCGCTGGCAGCTTTCGTGACACGGTCTTGCCCACCTCTGCAAGCATCTTCCTTGGCACCGCAAACACGACCACCACCTTTCGTCCCGCACATGAGCGGCGTGCAAGAGTCTACGTCTACGTCTTTTCAAAAAATCATTACGCTGGAAGCCCGGGGTCTGGTTGTAGACATCGAATTCGGCCTGGAGCCCGCCTTCTCGGACACTCCTGGCATGATGGCGGCCTTTGTAGACGGGTGTGGGCAGAGGCGCAGCATCGCCATGCAGAGCCTTGAGGTAGTAAACCGGGTGGTGGGAATGGAGGTAAGCATCTCCCTCACTCTGATTGGCGAAGCGAAAGAGTCTCAGCACGGTCTCGAAATGCGTCCAGTCTTCGAAAAGTCCTCAGCTCTCGGCTCTCTTCACCGGACCTTTCTCTTTCGCTCTTTCGAACTCTCTTTCAGACAGGGCTCCACCAACGTCAGAAGGGACCACGGCAAGGTTGATCGCACTGCTGGGCAATCCGCTGCTGACAAGAGCCGCATGGACAAGGTCGAAGGTTCTCTGATTCGCTGTCACCACGTGGGCGAACAAGCCCTCGGGAGTCTCCCGAATGTTCAAGTTGTTGACCTCACAACACGGAAAAGGCAAGTGCTGCGGCGCTAGCGTGGCAATATTCCACAATGCCACTACAACGCGCCCAAGTCTAGTCCATGCTACGGAATCGCCCAGGCTGCTGAACTGCAGGCCGCGTCGTGGGATCCACAGCGCAAAGGTAGTGAAGGAGAAGTATTCGACGTCAGGCGGCCGCCGGGCGATGAGGACGACGGCATCGTCGCGCCTGGCTACAGCAATGTGCATGAGGCCCCGCCATGGATGGTCCGGAAAGTTTAGCTTTCGTCCGTTAGGGCTAGGAGTGGCAAGTAAATCGGCTGCTACCTCCTGATCCCATCCTTATCCCTCCCTGTGTGTCGATGGGTCATGGCCTATGCAGACAATGCACGTTTTCCTGCCTCAGGTTCCACATTGGACTCGGCAGGAGAAACCCGAAAGCTGGCAGCGCATTCCACATGTAAGGGGTGTTCGGGTTGCCTGGGCCATGGTAGTCTCAGCAGTCAGCAGGCATCCGTGTACACATAGCCCCAAGCCACATAAACATTTATCAAAACAGTGCTGAACAGGAAACAGTGGCTGCCAAATTTGTCTGTGAAGAGTGACCAGAAAAAGGTGTCACCTGTTGTACATGTGAGTTCCAGCATCAGCGAACGCGATTACGAGGAGTTTTGTGACTCCCACTTTGCCGTGTATTCACCATGCCCACTCATCTAATGCAGACATGCAGAGCTTTGCACCGTGCAGGCGGTTTACTATCTGCACAGCACGTACATTCCTTGCCTGCGTCATTCGCTCAGCTTTTATTGTCGGGTGCAGACCGGTCTCTCATAAGATATCCATGCGGAGAAGTTGCGAGATCGGAGGAGGCTTGGGGATGCTTGGGGCTTGGGGGCACGGGACCGCTTGCGGCCCTTGCAGAATGCGCAGAGCGGGATCTGTAACCGAGATATGCCCAAATTCGGCCAGATGACGATCTCGCACCATCTGGCCCTTGCAGCTGATGCGCAGGTTCAAAGACTCGCCGATGACGTCCGTGAAGCGCTTGCTGAGCTTCGCCACATCGGGATCGGCAGGGCTAGGTATTTGTGGAAACAGCACACCTCACGAAAGCAGCGGAAAAAACAACTGCCACAGTACGAAGTCAGTCAAACCGAAACCTCGCTGCCTTAAATTTCTGATGACTCACCCAGCCTCCATACAAAGCAGCTGCAACGGCAGCGACGATGGCGCCCAGCGTGCGAGGCTTCATGGCATGCAGTGGGACTCCCAAACACACTGCAAAAGCATCAGAGAAAATGAAACGAAGGACACTTCTCCACTTGCCAGAAGCGGACGCTTACAAGCGTACTGTGTGAATTTCGAAGATGGCTTGAGACGGTGCGGCGCGGTATATATCCGGTCCGGGCTCACAAAGCACGAGAAACGGAGGAGAGAGAGAGCGAAAGCGAGAGCGAGAGCGAGAGCGAAACCGAGAGAGCGAGAGAGAGAGAGAGGGAAAGAGCGTGCAATTCCCACGTGGACCGCTGGGCCTTGAGCAGCTCCTGCAGGCTTCGCCGCTCCCGTGGCTGTCCAAGCCCCACCGTTTTCACGCCGCGCCGGAAGGGTGCCTCGTGCCACTCACGCCGCCGGCGGAGCACGTGCCCGTGCTTCCTATGGCTACAGTGCTACGATTCCTCGCACCTCGTGCGCACGGAAGAGGCCCGTCCCCTCGGCGTTTGGGAGGTCGAGCCGGTTCTGGACCTGCCAGGCATCAGCCGTCATTGCGCAGCGGGAGGGCGTCGGCGCAGCCCAGGGTCGGTGCCGCTTTCCAGGAGCGCTTCTGCTCCGTCGCGGTCGCGGAGGCCTGGGCCTGGGCCTCTCCCAGCAGAAGACTTCAAAGGAGGTTAGGGCCGCCGGGCCGCCCTCTCCCTCTCTCTCGACATCTCTCGACTCTTCCGCGGGGCCTTCTGTTCAAAGAGGTCCTTGGCACAACTTGGCTTCGAAAGGTCCACCTCTCCCGCCCCTCTGCGTCGAGTCCTTGAGCTCGTTCGCTGTGCCCGCGGAGACCGCTGAGATTTCAGCCGGCCTTTGAAGCGCTCAGACGAGGGGTGGAGACCTCTTCGCACGTCTCGCTCGTCCCAACGGCCCAGGGCGCCAGCTCCTTTGCACTCTCGGGTGGTTCCGCCGCACTCTCCTTGCGGACACAGGGCCTCGGAGCTGCTCAGAAGCTCAGAGAGTCCGCACAGTCCAAGGTTGCTGAAAAAATGGCTGAGGTGGGCACGCCGAGTGTCGGTGCTGTCGCATGCCTGAGGACACAAAGCATGAAAGATGATGTGACAAAGAGCTTGAAGAGTTGGTTGGCCTTCTCCCGATGGCTTGGATGCTGTAGAGGGTGTGGCCTGTCTTTGCTACGCTTCGCAGGACTGTACCAGTGTGCGACACGGTCAGAGAGCGCCTTCTGCTCGACACAGTCCTCTTTCAACTCAAGCAACTTTACCAAGCGTCCAAAAGTGGGTGTTCCGGCCTCCCCAGCAGCCCCATCGGTCTTCCATGCTTGCGGGGTCACCTGAACACAGGCAAAGACAACATCAGACATCTGGTCACCACCCTATCACCGGAAAGCAGAGCGCCGGGTCGTGCACACGACCGCCGGCGCGTGGTGGAGCTTCGGCTTGCACCTGCAGAAAGGTTTTCGCTCCATTTCCAGCGGCGCGAGGGGTGCCGATGCATCGGTAATAGCAGCAGCGTTTTGTCAACAATTCGGAAGCTCAGACCAGGCCGTGCGCCTCGGAAGAATTACACTGTTCCATGGTGTGTGCAGCGACCAGCAGATCGCATTGCAACCAGAACATACTTTCGCGAAAAACACTGTCCACAGCACAACCGGAAGCACGGCGAAGACCAGATTCCCTACAGCACTTACTGCCTCAACCCGTATGTGATGAGAGGCCCAAGATTAACGAACAGTCCGAAATGCGCAGAGGAAAACACAACTAGAAGTCAAAAAGCAGAAAAATCTGAAAGAGACACAAAAAGATTGACTTGCTGACTTCGACTCGAGATTTGATTCGGTTCACGGCTCATCGAAGTCAACATCTGTTGTCGTAGCACTTGGGCTTTGGGAGTTTGGAGTTTAGAGTGTAAGCAAGTTTCAGCATCAAGGCCTGAGCAATGCTACCTCGGCCCCGCTGGCTCTTACCGGATCGAACATGTCTCGCCGTTTCTGTTCATCAAAGCTTCGGAATCACCTGAGGCCTCTCAACAAGTTGTCTAGAGGGAGAGGATGCACGTCTGCACTCATAGCAGTAGTTCAATCGGCTGGCGTAGTGCGTCACGAACGACACCATTGCCGACAACTGCACAACCTAGTAACATCGTAAACACCTGTGTCGAAACCACTCAATAAGAATCTTGAAAATAAAGCCTGACATGCACTCGTGAAACAGACGGGCTCCTAGAACATTGGGAACCCTAGCTTGGGTCCAACGTGTAGGAACCTAACCTAATGTGACAACCCCAAACAGGACCACTAGTAGTGTTAATCTATGCTCAAGTATCTGTAAATCTAAATAAAAAACATTGAAATATTCTAAGTAATTGTGCCAATATCTTGAAACATGATGGACACATCTTCCAACATGGTTCAAAAGATCTCAAAAAGTGTCAATGATCTTGCAGACTACGTCTTGGACATATTGAAACAGCAAAATGATCAAAAATTGTTGGCAGTTACCAGCAAGGGAACCCCAAACCAAAAAAAGCCTGCAGTCTGAGAAGTTTTCTCTTCAGCTCAAGGGCAGGGAGCTGCGATGACCGTGTGAAGGATGACGAAAACGAGAAGGAGGAAGAAGAGGATAATGATGATCAGGGATTATCTTTCGGAGACCAAGCTTAAGTTCCAGGTCCTCTTCGAACACGCGAGGCACGATGCAAGACTAGGGGTGGGTCTGGAGTGCCGCCCAGTTGGATATTTCAAGACGTTTCTTCCATCCTGTCTTATTGAAAGCACTCCAAAGTAGCAGAAACAATGGCATTTTGCCAGTGCTCGGTTTGGGTATAATTTGGCTGGTGTGTAATGGGTTTGGGAGAACACCCAATCGCAACTTTAAATGGTCATCTTCAAAGCACCTAAAAATTAACCAAGCCATTGTCATTTTGGTACAGTCTTTTCGAGTTAAGGGAACCATACATGGCACAGCTTCAATAGTATTTTGCTTGTCCGACAGTGGCAAAGAGTGACCAAGCCGCAGGCAATTCGGCTTGCTTCTGGGGACAAGGGAACGAGCCGGAAACTTGTGAGTACCAAAATTCACTTAGCCTTGATTCCTTGATCATTCTGGGCATCCTAAAATTTCCTTTATGACACGAAGCTGTAGGCACTGGCTCGAGATTCACATGTGAAAGGCTCGGCACATGGACTTTATACTCGAAGACTGCGTGAGAGACAAGAGGCTGACTCGACAGAAAGCGCTGTGCAACGGCAGCGGCTTGCAGTCTTGGAAGACCCATCAGACGGTCGACTGGCCGGGCATTTCGCACACACACACACACACACTCTCTCACACACACACACACGGTCGGTAACATGTGCAAAGACGGCACTACATTCAACCTTGGAAATCTTGTCACGCCTTGCTGGCTCGTTGTACTGTACGAGTGCTGCGTAGGGATTCTGGTTGTTGGAACAGTGGAATGAAAAGCGCCTGAAACAGCGATCTCGCCGGCGTCGGTGCTTCAGGAGGCGCCTGAAACAGCGACCTCGCCGGAGTCGGTGCTTCAGCAGCTGCCTTGAATGAAGAAGTCGGGCATCGCAACAGCACATGCTTCAGGTCCATCTGAGGCCAGAACTAGTGCCTTCTCACGCTGCTTCAACAGTTCCTCGCGCTCCTGGCAGCTGGCCGCACACGACCAGCACTGCTTGACATTCACGGAATTATCAGCCGACTATACGAGCATGGGTCACCAAGATTCAAGTTATGGTCAGCATCTCTCCACTCGACACGAGGTCCGACTCGCCCTAATTCAGGCCCGAAGCCAATCTGCAGGCCATCGGTGGTGCCGAGGCGCAGCAAGCGAGCGTTCGCGACGATCTAGCTCGGCAACCCTCTCTGCAAGCTCTGCCTGCGGGGAGAAGGTGCTCGGAGAAAAAAACTGGCTGCTGCCTGTCAGGCCTCGATAAGGGACCGGATCTTGCCAGCCAGTCCATCCGCACACTGAGCAGCCTGACGACAATGGACCGTTTCGATTCTGAGATCTGCATGGTCTGTACATTGACGCATGGGGAACATCTCGGAGGAGGCAGACATGTCCAGCAACAACGCATCGACCTCCATCAGCGTGGGCAGCACCAGGCAAGGTTTTAGCACTGGTTACGGTTTGATCCACTACGACTGCAAAGATCATGTACGGCTCAGAGCACCAGTCACGCAGTCAATGATTGCCATGTACTAGCCCAACTTGCTCACATCGGCTGCGGTTGGTCCGACAAAGCAATCAAAGAGGCTTGTTTCTGACTATGCGGCGATTGATCACACCGCCATCGTCACCCCCTCCTGGTGATGAACCTGAGATGATACAACCGCATGTTACGCCTTTAGCACCTCTTGCCAACCGAGACGGCGACCATCTTGTGCGGTGTCAGGTGAGCTTCTGCTGCCGCATGCAATGGTGTCTTTGCATCTCCAATAGTGCTCTTTGGCACTTGGGGGTGGTTGAGCTGCGCAGTGTGAAGCTGCTGTGCTCCGTGGCCATGAGACGAGATGTGTGAGTGCGGTGGGTGTGAACGGTGAGCGTGTGCTAGGTGCGCCGGGTGCCCTGATTGCGCTGCGTGCGCTGGGTGTGCCAAGTGTGCTGGGTGTGTGTGCAGAGCTGGATGGCCTGCATGCGCTGGGTGCGGCTGCACTGCTGAGAGTGGGCGGGCAGGGTGGGCAGGGTGTGCGTGGTGGGAAGCGTGGGAAGCGTGGGAAGGCTGAGAAGTGTGGGAAGGATGGGAAGGGTGGGAGGGGTGGTGCGCTGCATCTGCTGCGGAGTGGGCAGCATGCTTCGACAAATGTTGGCCTGGCTCGCAGCACTCGCCCGACTACTCACAGCATGTTCGGAACACGAAAAGGAGAGCTGTCTGGCCTTCGTGATGCATCTTCATGAACCCATGTTGTCGGAGGAAATCCTGCCCAGCTGGACCCAATGGAAGCAACCGACTGGCTTGAACTCGCTGGGGTCCAGGCAGCCATTGGGACAAGGCCTGACTTGCCCCGAACGCAGAGCTGTCCCTGCAGCCGGGTGCTACAATCCAACTGTTGCGCGCTACAGTATGTCATCAGACTGTATGTCCCCTCCCCACAACCAGCGACGGCGAGTCACAAAGTAGCACGAAATCCAAAGATTCTCAGTATGGCGACTATCGCCCGGCAAATGTCTGTCAGAGACACCCCGCGGTAGCACAGGGGAGTGCTGAAGCCTCCTACCGGTTTTCCGTCACAGCAGACGCAATTGGGCGCCCGTCAGACTTGGCCATGTGATGAAAATGTGCCAAGACAAGGACCGGTCTTCGATTTGTGCAAACTCCTCTGCGATGCACTGCGATGCACTGAGGCGCTCGCAGCGGGCGTGAGCTCCAGGGTGACGGCGAGGTGCTCCGCGACTTTGTGAGCAGAGGCGCCTCCGAGAGGCGGGGAGCGCTCCAAGAAGAGCCGGGGGGGGTTCGGGGGGGGTTCGGTTCCTTATTATGATAGAATTTATAGCATAGTATCTTCCAGAAAAAGCGAGCTCGACTTCTGCGGTTTCCGGGGCCCCCAGCTCATGCGGACGATCGGGGGAGCCAGCTCCTGACGAGTCGCCAGGGAACCTTTGGGGTGACGTCTCGCAGGCCCCCGACCCCTTGGTGCCGCATCTTCTGGAGGAAGCTGTCGACAGCATCATCTACGGCAGTCTTGGAGACGTGGGGTCCATGATCTTTCATAGCTCGCGCCGCCTCCCTGCCGCAAACTTGAGAGGTACAAACACTTGAGATCTTGAAATGAGCAGGATCGAGCTTTTTGAGACCTTCCCTTCGACTTCGAGCGTTGCAAACGGTCCTTCAACTTCAATCCTCTGCGCAATTCGCGGAAGGTCCTCAACGGCGAAGATGCTTTGCTCGGAGCCTTCGCGGGCCAGCGCGCTTCGTCTCCAACCGTCTGAAGATCAGCAAACCACCTCCAACGTGAAGACAGGCGCATCTCCTGAAATCTGGAAGCCATGGTCGATCAGATTTCTGCGAAGGCTTGCAGAAGAACGGTTCGTGGAGCAAAAGCTCTCCAGAACCCACTCCTCGCCGGAAACATGCCATGAAACGGCCACAAGCAGCAAAAATGAAAACAAAGACGCTCTCGCATCTCTCGCAAGATCTCCTGCCAACCCGTGGAAGCGCCAGGACGTCGTACCAGCAGCTGAGCTCCGGCCGGCTCCAGCACACTTCGAAGCTCTCGTCCCACCACGAGCCGCTCAGAGGGATGAGTGATCGACCGCCAAGAAGAAAGCCCTCCTGCAACCACACCACCACCCCACACAACAAGAGCAACAGGATGCAACAGGAGCCAAGCCATCAACTGAACTCTGCTTACACCATGGTTTCTCTTGATCCAAGTCACGTAGCCGAGAGCCCCGAGCCAGCGGACCATGCTCTCTAGCGTGGGCTCTGCGAGGGCCGTGACTGCAGTGACTCGACTGTTGACGCGTCTCTGCTCCTTGTGCAGTCGAAAGAAATCCGGATTCATCTGCCCCGCGACCTCGAAAACGATCGCTGCAACGTCCCCGGTCTGGAGCAAGGATCTGGCTCCTTGCAGCACTTCCAGGTCATGTCCTTCGGTATCGATCTTGAGCAGAAGGCTAGGCGCAAGCCCGACCTCCCGTGCAAAGTCATCCAGACGCTCCGTCATCACAGATTCGGATTCCGGTGACAGGTACTCGGCACTCCTTGTGATGGCCGGGATGTGTCGGGAGAGTGATGCCTGGTTGGTGGATCCGCGCAGGCGAGCTTCGCCGCTGGCGTTGGACGCAGCACGCAGATGCCAGCTGATGCACCTTGCTGCAGAGAAGTTGCGACGAAGCGACTACCCGTATCCCACTGCCGCCATGGCCACTCGGCAACGGCTCCCATCCGTGCTATCAGTACGTGCCCGGTGGCCTGCGTGCTGCGCGGCGGCCTAGCGAGAGGTCCCTTCGAAGCCGCTGCTCTGCAGTGCGCCGCGTCCGCTCCAGCTCGCGTGGGAGCGGCTCGAAAGCGTGGATCTGAACATTGGCCGAACAGCCCAGGAGCACCGCCATCTCCGCTGCATGGCAACGGTCAGGGCCTTCGTAGCTTGCAGCACCGATGTCCAGCACCGCCAGTCGCTTCACCCCACTTCGCAAAATGCTCCGACCAAGGCTGGCAAGGGCTCCGAGAACCTTTCTCATGCCCTGATCCTGGCCGGAACCGCCCCAGAACTCCGTAGCCAGGAACTTTTGCAGGTACACAGCGTGGCGATGTCGGCGCTGCAACCCCAGCTCCTGCAACGCGGGCAAGAAGGACCGTGACCTTCCCCACTTCATCTGGCAAAGAGGAGCGCGAGCCATGCCCAAGAGCAGCGGCCATTCCAAGGACGCGGAGGTCTCCAGACGCAGGCGGCCGCATCGAAGCTGCTCGGAGCTCATGGGCAGCCGGAGCTCTCAGAAGGGCCTTTGGGGGGCCTTTGTCTCTGCGACCATGGATAGTGAGACACGCGCATTGGCAGAGATCGTCCCGGGAGACTTGAGCCCAAATCGGACACTGCCCGCTCCAAGATTTGCATGTGATAGATTCGTGGGATGGACCCCGCCTGACACACGCAGTCAGCGCAGCAAGCTGCTCTTGGTTGTGTCTCGCATGAGCCTGAGATCGCGAGATCCAATTAAACCCTTCCTGTGCAAAAAGTCCCAGCTCGGCCTCCATCTGTTCGTAGGCCTTGGCTTGCCTCGGCGACGCTACACGGCTTGTCCACACAGTCTCGAAACTCCATGCTACCATACCTCGGACATGGCTTCCGGCGCAGGCAACGAAGTCCTGCGGCCCATCTCTTCGTGGAGGCGAGCCTGCGCCGTACTGCGTCGCACTGTGTCACAACCCGACGCCAGCCACCAGCAAAACCCCGGCAGGGTCCTCGAGCACGCGCTGCTCTTCCATCTGACCACGCTTCAGCTCGTCCGCCGTCTCGGCGGTGCAGTCGAGTGTGTTCGAAGTTCGAAGTGTGTCGGGATCCGTGCGGATCCCCGTGAAGCCTCGCCTCGTGGCCAAGGCGAGCGGCTGCGACACAGAGCCGCTCCTTCGATCAGACGTTCATGTGACGTGGCTTGCGAAGGAAGAGGAGCCGGTTGAGGTGCACCGATGCAACTGCCAACTGCTCGGTCGTCATCGCGGCCTCCATCACCAGCGCCTTCAAGACTTCCTTCCGCCGGTTGACTTCCCCGGCCTCGTGCAAGGCACAGTGCAAGGATGCAGACAGGCATGTTAAGGCGACTGATCTGGTAGCCGAAAGGCATGAAATTGGCATTTCTCCTCCATGCGAGCGATGTAGCTCTGCAGTGCCACGATCTCCTGTGACAGGGAAGGCGAAGGCCCCAGCCTGCAGAGATGCCTTCTCGGCTCGGGACGAGAGACGAGGCTCGACAAGACCAGACGACTAGACTCCTTTTTTCTGTGGCTGTGAAGTTTTTTGGAATCCATTGAGAGCGGCTGTCGCAAGGTCTTGCGCGGCACCTCTGGCCGCAGTTGTATACAAGCAAATTCCATGTGCAGCTGCACATCTTGGGGTTATGCCAGTTGCCCTGAGCCAATCGCTTCTGACAGGCAAGCAGGATCATACTGCAAATTGTATACTGCATCTGTACATCTGAAAGCCTCGTTTGGAAAAGGGAGGCCTGTGTCATCATTCCACCAATTTCTGTTCCACATCTCCCCCTCTGAAAGCAGAGAGGAAGGTCAGCCAGGCGAGACCTATGCCTGCAATCCAAGGTATCCGCCAGTGAAGGGGCACCTCAGGCTGAAAGCAGACCGACTACAGTGCCGCCTGTGCCTGCTCCGGGATTTCAAGCGCACTCTAACTCTAGGACTGTAGGGTAGGCACCACGGTGAAGGTCATGCAGTGCGCAGGGAGCCTGAGGAGTACAGTTGCAGCTTTCAGCTCACACTCTCCTTTTGGCAATCTCGAGATTTTTCGCAAGGGGTGGTGCTGGCAGCTTGAGGACTCTGTTCTACTGAGGCATTCAATCCGAGGATTCGGAGCCGTCTCAACACGTGGGGAGTGTTACAGTAGGGAATTTCCAGGCGCCCCCCCCCCCTTTTCTCAGAGTCCTTGTAAGGACGGATGGGCTCGTCTAATCAAAAACCTCCCCGCCCCACACCGCTTGCATTCATACTCCTCACCTGCAACTTACTGCGATCCACAAGTCAACTCTCACTCAGGTGCACTAGGCCAAACAACAAAAACCAAGCATGACGGTGGCACCAAGCCAACTCTCAGTAAACCTCCCAAACCCAAAGGGCTCTGAAGAACCTGAAGATTCTTGCAGCGGATGCCCCCAAGAGACCAAAAGCCAATACAACGCTGCACATCTGCCCAGACGTTGGAATACCACTGCAAGAAGATCGTCTTTGGACTGAAGCTTGCAGCTCCCGTCAAGGACTGCACACAGCCTCAGCAGCGAGCAGACGCGAGCAGACGCGAGCGGAGAAAGTTGTCGACAGAGTACCCACCCGAAAACCTAGCTGAGCCTACGCACCCAAGAGGCCGGAGGCAGTGTAAAAGACTGGAAAGTAGAAGAACGGAATGTGAAGGACCTGATCCACCGCGATCTGGAAGATGGCTTGCGCAGGTTGGCGCAAAGCAAGGGCGGAGACCAGCCGAGGGTATGCAACACAGTATATGGCATGCTGTGAGAGCCCGCAGTAGAAGAAGCCAAAGCAACTGAAAACCAGGATCCGCTGTCGGTCGAGCTTCTCCTTACCTTCCAGCATCTTCTGTGCCACAACATCTGCTGTTACGGCTTTACCGGTGGAAATCGCGACGCCAAAAGCGAGCGGATGACGCTGGCAGACATGGTTCAGCCACCTCACCCATTGCGACATGAGATATTTGCGAACAGGACTCTTCACTGACGTTGCTGTGTAGTGTCCAGAGACAAAGACGCTGGTGGCGAGTGCTTCAGGACAAGCTTGCAAAAGGGGTCCAAGCACGTGACAAAGGCTGAATGTGGCAAGCCGAAAGCTGCGAGGGGTGCGAGCATGTGAAGCCAAGAAACTCGGACAAATGGAACTCCAAACCGCAACACCGCGGACAGACCGCAAGGCACATCAAGGCGCGGAAGGGCCTCTTGGAAGACCTCGATCTGCCTCTGGTGATCTCGTCGCTCTCGGATTTTCACCTGCGCTTCAGAGACTCTTGCAGGTACTTGGCGATTGGCGAGGGTACCGACAGTTCAAGACGTGGCCCTTTGTTGGGGTGCTGGCCGCATCGTCCTGCTCCTGCTCCACGAGAGCCTGGCCGACGAGAAACTGCGGAAATGACGACAAGACTGCTCATGGACAACCACACTTGCGATCCAGCTTCAACTATGAAGTTGAGGCTACCGCTCGGAGAAGCATCCATTATTGGCATCAGTTCAATCGTTATAGGTTTGATTCACCATGGACGACTTATGTAGGTCACATTCTTGTCACCTTCATCACCTCGCGAAAGGCCCTGAGAGGGATCGGAGACTGAGAGGCTGAGAGGGAGAGAGGCCGAGGCCGCCTCGACCTGGTGGCGCCACTGGTCGATGGCCATGTGCCGGTGGAGCAGGTCGCTGTCTTTCTGCAGCTTCGCCACCTGAGAACGCGAATCCTTGATGCTCCACCGGAAAATTCCGAGACAAATCCATGCTCAGCCAATGGTCGCCTTGCTCCCCTGAAGCTTGTGCTGATCCATCAGCGTCTGCAGCTCTGCAGCCTGACGTGACGGGGGAGCCGGGCAGTTCTACACGACTCCGGGCCCGCGATTGAATCGTGCTTTCACCCTGAGACTTACGACCAAACTTTCTGTGCACGGGAGCTCTTGCCCTGAAAGAACTCAAGACAAAGCAGCAGGCCCAATCCCTTCGGAGTGTCCGGGCATCGAACCTGCCTTGGCCGTGAGCTGCTGAGATCCATGGGCAACCGCCTGCAGAACCCACACTCAGGAGCTTCAATCTCCCCCTTCTGTTCTCCGATAGACTCGGGCTTGCCTCCTGAAGCCCAGACAGCTCCTCGTCTTTTTCAGCGAGCTCGACCTCCGCCACAGCAAGAAGTACCAGAGGTGCGCCTTGAGAGCCGGCAGCTCCTGGCCTCCGCGGATGCCAGTCGCTTCTTTAACGTGGTCACCTGACGGAAGGGGAAGAAGCAACGACCGACACCAATTCAAAGGTCCCTGCTTTCGCCCTGCAGAGGCCACTCTTTTGCCGGTGAAACCTGGGGATCGACGCCGGCGGCACGCGAAGTAGCGCTCCGGCTTGGGCATGAGACCTGCCCCTTCGGGGATGAAAATGTTGAAAATCAGTGAGAACGACGTCCAGCCTTCAAAGCCGACGCACTCACAAGGCACATTATCAATCGTTATCAAAGTCCTCTTCAAGGACCTGGCTTCCTCAGCAGGTCGCCCAACTGCAACTTCAAACTTCCAGGGCCCGCCGCCATGCTCGGACGGAGTCTCAGCCTCTCAGCCTCTCATGGCTTGGAGGGCAACCTCACTCGCTTCGGCGATGCCGGGCAGTCATCCATCGAAAAGACCTGCCGAACTGAACTGTTGGCTTTGGGCCTGGGTCCGCAGTCCGCAGCCATGGCTCTGCCGTAAAAAACTCTGGGCCCTTGCCTTGTCCGCTGACACCTGGAGCGCGCTGACGGAGCCAATGCTTCCCAGGCTTCCTGACATCCGTCACAGCTGCGCGCTACATCGCTCTGCAGCGGCGGCGGAAGCGCCTCTTCCGCCTTTCCTGCCCTTTGCCAGGCCAGGGGTGAGCGGCTCCTCGCCGGTGGCGCTCGTGGCATCCGGCAGAGGCGTCCAGTCCTGCCGCGCAGCGCACAGCCGCAGCAGCTCCCTCCATGAGAGCTGAGCCTCTGAACGGAGGCCTCCTGGCGCCGCCGCAAGAGCGCGGACATGGGCTCCCGAGACGGATCTCCTTTGCGCGCCGCTCTCACGGAAGCGCCATGTTCACACACCTCACTCTGCCGTCCTTCGTTCAATGCCGGAGACGACTTTGCCCGGGCAAGTGCTGCTGCATTGCCGTCGACAGCCTGCTGGACGACGACCTGTGCATGCGAAGCCTCGCCATGAGCACCGCAGCTGGCCCTACTCGTGTGACCTGCCTTGGGAGGCTGCGTCAAAGGCGACCTCTTTGGGTTCGTCTCGACATTGAGCTTCAGCCCCCGCCTGACAAGAATCTGTCTCGCTTCCGAAGTGAGCTGAGCCGGTTGGCCCCTCAGCCTCTGGGCAATTGCAGACTGGGCGCCGACAGATGAAGATGGAGAGATCTCCTCCACTTTTCATCCGCTCCACGTCTGAGTCTAACCCCGCCACCCGTCGCATCGCACCTGACTTGTTGCAGGTGACATGTGCGAAGGCGAAGCCGGCGAGGCGAAGGCCGACCTGGCGGCGATGACTACGCTTCGCGACTCCTCTCGCAACGACTCGACTCAGAGCAGCGTTCAACGCGCGCCGGGCAAGCGAGGAGGACACGGCTCTTCCTGCACGTTGCGCTGAGGCAAAAGCCACAACGAAAGGTTCAAGAATCAACTTCAAAAACCTTCTCTTCCCAGGCACACGAAAGCGTTGGGGAGCACAGGTACCACTCAGTTTCTCCACTAGGTCCAGAGACTGGAGACCCGTCCACGCTTTGTTTCATGTTGCCTCCCCCGCTTGTCACATCCTGTTGCCGTCCCATTGCGATTGGAAACGGAGGATTCCAGTGTCGTCTCTGAAACTGACAAGAAGCCCGCCCATGCACACATGCATACTGCATCAATGCGTTCCAGCCAGAGCTTTCACCTTGTTGCTGGTCCAACTGCATCCGCACTCGCTGCAGCTCCTTCGAGCCACAGATACGAGGGAGGGGTGGGAGAATCTAACTGTGAAGCGCGCACCTGGTAGAGCGATTGAACCTCCACACACTTCTCCTCAAACTTCTGTGCTAACCATTCCTGGCCCGAGATCAAATTACAGGACACCTTGTATGGCAGAGTCTGAACGTGTGTGTACCAGAGCCTTCTCCTTCTTCTCCTTGTCTACTGTGGCGAGGAGCCATTGCAAGCCCTGTCACACACTGCATTCACACCAACATCTTTGTATTCAGTGACATCTCATGCCGGAGCAGGCTGGCCACGATCTCCTGCCCTTTTGGCCCTAATGCTACACTGCTGGCCGACTGCCAAGTCGCTGTCGACTGCAAAACCACAGCGGCATTTCTCCGCGGAAAACTGAGAATCCAAAGCCCCAATGAGTTGATCATGGAGATTTCGCAACAAACAGTTTGCCATTAGCGTTCGGCTACTGGCATCGGTCTTTACAGTCTGCTCACTCGTTCACAAGCGGCAGCTCCCCGTACGAGTCGCGCTTCGTCGACTGGAAACTTCTGTTGTACGGAATGAGGAACATGCCAGTTGCAGTGCCCACTGCAACAACAACAGCTGCCCAAGCTGCACACAAAGCCAAAGCTCTGTTCATGGCCTGAGGAGGAAAGCTGCCATCCGAGAGGGTGTGCTGCCGGTATAGCCCGGCGAAAGCCCACACCGTGACGAGAGACCAGGCAAAATCGCTACGGATGGTAGCCACCATAACCGCCACAGCTGCAAGGATGCCAATCACAATCACTGCAGCCTGCGGGGTTCCTGCAACTCCATAAGCATCAGTCCACCCGTAGTACCCGGAAAGAGTAAATTTGTTCGCAGCCGCTGCCACCAGCACCCAGCTGATATTGCATGCGATGCCAGAGGCATAGATTGTCCACTCTGCAAACGAAGACGTAGTCTTGGTGTTCATGTCGACATAGATCGAGAGGAGGAATGCCAGGTACACGATAATGACCAACATTGCCTTTCCCCAGAACAGGTTGGCATAGAGCGGCAACCAGAGGGAATTCAGGAGAAAGGCAATGACCAGGCGCCACCGAACTGAAAGGCTTGTGAGGAGGCACCGTTGCTGCAAGAGCTTCTCAGAGCTCTCCGATGGTGAGCACTGCATGACCACGAGTACGCCCTCGAGGGTGTAGGTTGCAATCCAAACCATAAAGGTCATCATGTCAGGAGTGAGGTATGTCGGGTGGTCGGCAGAGACTGCACCGAGCGACTGGTCGGAAAGGAATCCACGTGCTGCCAAAGCATTCAGGAACAGGCTCAAGACGAACGTCGCCACAACGAGGATCTTCTCTGCGAAGGCCATGCTCACTATGCTCGCTCGACAGAGTGGCTCTCAGATAGTCCTACAGCGGCCCCTCCTGTGATCCAGAAACACTAGCAGCAACGACCGAAATGCACCATCGATTGTGAATGCTAGAATGCTAATGCTCGAGGTGACAAAGCTCCGGCCTTGACGCCGCCTCCGGCAAGGCTCGCCTGAGAGGGTGCAGTCGCTATGACGCCCTCGCCACCAGGGCCGCAATCCGAATCCGTGCCGTGCCTCCCCAGGAGCCTCAGAATTCCAGGGCAGGGCAAGGCGGAAGGGTGGAAGAAGGCACTCAGTCCTCTCTTCTCTTCAAGAAGTGGCCTGGAAATCGAGGCTGCTGGCTGACAGCTGACCGTCGAGGCCAGCATGGGCGGCGCTCTGGCAGGTGGCTTCCAGTGGCTTTCAAACGGCACAAAGCATAAGCTCCGGGCACTGGAGGGCATGCTTTCGGTGCAGTTCTGGTCTACGGATGAAGGGGTGAATTGTAATGGTCCTCCTTCACTTGTGGACAAAGGGGAACGGGGAACTGATCAATAAACGGGCAATGGGAAGAAAAGACCTCGCATGGGAAGACAAAACCTAAGTTCTAGAAACTAGCCCTCCTGCCCGGCCTATCGTTCGTCCATGACGTGCACCAAGAAAACCCGAAAGAAGCCAACAAATAGCAAATTACGCCGCGAAGCCGAACCCAAAAACCCCCCAAAGAACAACACCACCAGAACACCTGCAGACTCTGCCAAATGCGCTGGAAGGGCAGTGGGGCAGTGGGGCCGTGCCTTCTCGCGTGGAAGCGGCGGGACCGGCGGGACGGCAGAGCCAGCCGAGCCCATGGCATGCACCACACGGGCTGGATCTAGAGGAACTCTGTTTCCCGTTCTCGACTGTGGAAGATGTTCCTCACTTCAGCAATGAAACGAAATGAAAGTGGTTTCAACACGCAAAAATGCACAATTGCTGTGTTCATGCTTCTCCCAAAAACCGATGGCTGCAGTCGCATAGGCTCCACGAGCCAGAAGAGGCTCGCTCCCCCGCTGCTAGGACTAGGAGCAACTCAGTGCTTGTTGGCCTGTGTGTCGAGGTGTTTGGCTGAGGCCTGGGCTCCGCCCCAAACTGCTCGACTACTCATGCACAAATGGCTCTCGCCCATGCCTGCAGAACGGCCTGCGTGCTGCCGGATGCGGCTTCAACCTAACAAGTACATCTCAAAGCAAAGGGGCGCAGAGGAAATTGCCTCCTGCCTTGGCCGAGAGCGTCCCCACATGGCCTCCAGCACAATCACCGCAAGCTGCGCTCCGAGTCGCTCTCGAAGCCCTCACTCTCGGAGCACCTGTCGCTTGTCGCAGCTGGTCTTCGGCTTCGTGGATCTTCTCCTCCAGCCGCAGCACCTGTGCGCTTCGCCGCAACCGATGCCGTGCCGTGCCGTGGAACTCTGCGCCTCCTGGCTCCTGGTACTGAGCTCCTGCCGAAGCACCCGCAGCTCCACCTTGCGGGCAAGTCTGCCAATTCGCAGCTACAGCCGCAGAGATGGACACAGTGGTTGCATCGACACCTCGCGGGCGGCAACCTGCACAGGTTGCGAAGTCAGGAACCAGCTGACCCTTGACCTAGCACTATTGAAGACATGTTGTCTCAAGATCTAGTCAATATCCATAAGTTAGACACAACAGAGGCAGCATAAGTTCAAGACCCTGGCGACTACGGCAGTGCTAGTGAAACGATGTGAAACGTTCTTGGCCTCATTCTGCAGGGCGTCTGGCTCCAGTTCTGGCCACCTGGAAAGCATTCGTGTGAATTCATCCGGGATCTCCTGAAAGATCACTAAGCATGCTGAGCCTCTTGTGGTATGGCTTTAGCAACTTTAGCACTCGATGGCGGGGGACGAAACGGCAGCGACAGCACCATACAGCCACGACTGACATCTTGCTCAGCTGCATGCTGCGATTGCGGACCGTCTTGGACGTCCACCGCTGCCGCCACCGCTGCAGCTGGCAACACAACGAAGAAAGGATTGACGATGGTCACTGCAATGCACTAGCATTTCCAAGCCTGTGGCCGCATGTTGGTGCTCTGCTTCGGCGACAGATGGAGACGAAGCGTGTGGGCTGTGCACCTCGTTCACATAATGCTTCAACGGATGCATGAACGGCCAAATCTCTTGCCGGCCTTAGGTGACAAGCTGCCACGGTCGCCCCTGTGCGGAGACCTTAGCCACAGGGTTGCAGGACTCTATCTGCAACCCTGAAAGGCGACTTGAGGCTGCAGCTTTGAGCGGCCAGCCTTGCACGAGCTTCGCAGATCTTCACAGTTCCTATCCCTGTATGTCCCTGCTACTGCTACATCCGTCTGCTTTTACGGCTCCACAAAACTCCGCACTTGGAGGGCCTTCGCCTGCGCTGCCTGGTGTCGCTCGTGGAGGTGCTGCAAGAGATCGTGGTCTCGCTGTGAGAGCTGGCCGAAAGCGCAAAGAGAGGAGAACCAAGCACTGCACGCACTGCACTGCCCACACTGGCTCTGCAGAAGGCACCTGTGGGTGTGGGGCCGTCTTCGGCTTCTGAGATGCCTTTGGTGAAGCCGGAGATGCCACGCCATCCAAGCCACCTCACGAAACTCTTCCATAGCTATTGCCGAATCCACAGGAAGCGCAGCTTGCTACGATGCTTAGAACCGGGCTCGCAGAAGCCTGCGCGATCCCAGTTGAAACCCCCATACATCCATAACACACTCGCACGAAAACAAATCGACTGACACTCCACGACTCTTTTGTGCATCTCCGAGTTGAAGCAATGCCCGAAGCGCAGCGCTTTGCAGCTCTTCGGCAAGAGACGACACCCCCTGCGGCATTCATGGCACACGCATGCGCGGAAGCGGCCTACAGGAGGAAACCCTGCCTCGGTCCGCTCGGCCCGTTCCCTGCCTCAGTGCTTTTGGCTCGGCGAGGGCAACCGCAGCTTAACGGCAGGGAGCTGTGCGAAGCGCAACTCGTTTCTGTGCTCTTTGTGAGGGAAACAAGCAGCTTTCTTTGAGCTGTTGAGGCGATGCCGAGATGCGTTTGCATCGCGTGCATCCCACGGGCGGGCACGGCGCCGATGCTCCCACGTTGAGGACATCGCAAACTTGGAAACTCGTGACTCATGGCCGTGGCGGTCGCGGCTGGCTCGGTCCGCTCGGTATCGGTGGCGCACCTTGCAAAATCTTGCCTTGCAAATAGCATCTTCGCTCATCTCGCGCACCCTCCGCTTCGTGCAACTCAGGTGCCTTTGCGCGGTGCTGGCGGCGGATAGCCGGAAGGGACGATGCCTCCTGGGACTCCGGTAGCATCCGGCCTGCACGACAAGAGCAAGGGGTGGATCAGAAAGCCGAAGACCAGCGGATTTTGGCGCCTGGGACTCTCGCCGGACTTTGGTCGCGGAGGCAAAGGCGACGGGCTCCTTTGCCGAACCAAAAAGCACAAAGCGCCCTTCAGTGCCCTTCATCCCCCTCCACATCCCTCCACTACTTCAAGACTTCTGGACTCTGCTCCTGGGCCGAGCGCGGCTGGGGGTCCCTGGCCGCAGCGGGGCCCCGGCGGAGCAGAGCGCGTGCACCGTCTCCTCTGCCGAAAAAGAGAGAGAGGCGGGCTGGGGACCCATCCCTTTTGCTGTGGGCTCCTGGAAGCCGAGGCGCTGCGCGATCTGCAGCGGTGTATCCCCGAGCTTCGTCCCTGCCTGCAGGAGCACAGAACATCCGGCTCTGGCAAAAGGCGCTTTGCCGTGGACCTCCGCGTCAGCACGCATCTCCAGCAAGAACTTGGCCGCCTGGAAGGCTACAAAGCAAAAGACTGGCTGCGCTGGGAGCTTTTTCCGAGATCAGCCCACCCTCCCATTCGCTGGCGCCTGCGCGTGTCCCTTCCGGCAGACGAGCATCAGTGGTGTCTCACCGGCACCGTTCCGAACCTGGAATCTACAGTCTGGATTTGGTGAGCTGCGGGCATCCGCCCATATTATCCGCCCCATCGAAGCCAGGTGGCATTCAGCTCTGCGCCAAGCTCCACAAGAAGCTGCACGGCTTCGAGCCTGAGACAACCCTCGTTCTGGGCACCTCTGCGGCTCTTTCACATGCTCGCTCTTCTTTCTCCCGATGGTTGCAAGGCCAACTCGTGCTCTCTCGCCGTTCCTGCCAAGTCACTGCGCTTGCTCAGCAGCCACGTGCAAAGGTGTGGCCCCCTGCACATTGATGGGATCCACCTCCCAATCACAAGCTTCAAAGCTGCAGAGTTTCTTCGGGACCTCAAAGCCTCGGACTTTACTTGCAGTATCCCAGGGTTCAGGGCTCAAAGGGATTTATGTCAAAGGCATGCAAGGGCTCGGGCTTGGCTTTGAGACTTAGCGCTTGCTTAGGCGTTTCTGAGGATACAGCTAGCAGGCACCCCAAAACAAGAATCCCAACATTGTTGTCAGGCAGTAGTACCCTTATGACCATTATTAGTGGATATTCAGGGTATAATGGAGGGTAGTTGGGTCTGAGCCCAAAGAAAACTTGAGTTTCAGTTGGGGGATTGTGTCGCGAGGTTGCCGAAGATTTCCGCAGTTCGTAAAGCCATCGGAAAGCCCGAACCCACACTCAAACCAAAAGCACTCCTCTTCCGTATGGAAATGGATCCATAAAGCTGGGCTTCGTCCAGCAGAAGCAGACTTTCTAGGCTTTCTGGCATTGGCTCTAGCCGCACCTCGCGAAGGTGCTCCGACCGATAAGTCCACTTCCTGCTCGATGGAGCTCGCGCTCTCTGCCGTCCCGATTTCGCCGGATCTCATGTCAAGTGCCAATCACCACCTGATCGGAGGCCATCACGCCGACGAGCTGCGGCCCCCGCATGGCAATGGGCGACGACTCGACAGCTAGATCACCTCCCCACGCGCGCGCACGAAGAGCAAGGTGTTGAACATCCAAGTTGTGCCGCGGCAGAAGAGCAAAGACGGTCACAAGCCTTCGGCCTCCAGCGAGAGGGACCGAAGTTAACATCGAAGAGTCTGAGATCAGACTGTGCTGGCAAAGGGCTTTGGAGGGCAACACCAGATCAAGACTGCTGTGTACAACTACCTTTTCCATCCATCGTCAAATCGCCACCCTGACCACGGCTTCTTTTGCCAGCCCTGCCAGTTCTGTGGCTTCCACTCCGGCTTCAGAGACCTGCCAGCTCGCGGGGGCTCTGCCGGTTCAGGCACCGACGGTGGCCTTGGCCTTGACAATCGTCTTCGTGGGGGCTCTGCCGGCTCAGGCACCGACAGTGGCCTTGGCCTTGACAATCCTCTTCGAGGGGGCTCCGCCGGCTCGGGCACCCGCGATCGGATCGGCCACCAGATCGATGCGGAGACGCTCACGTCCGGATCCGGATCCCTCCGTTCCGGTTTCGGTTTCGGCCTTGCCTTCTGCTTGGCCCAAGGCTTGGATTCGGACGGCAAAACACGTTTCTTGGGCATGGCCTTCTGCTTCGGCGCACCAGGCCGAGGCTTGGGCTTGGGCTTGGGCATTGCCTTCTGCTTCGGGATCATAATGGGTGCGGCACCAGACGAAGTCCTTTTGAGAGATCCTAGTCCTAGCGGAGGCGGTTCGTGAAAGGTTTCGATTTTCGGGAGGTCGCTGATGTCTACCGGCCCCTGCTCGGCAGCATCCTTGGGCCTTGCTTCCAAAGAGGGCTTCCACTTGCTCCAGCCCTCGACGTGTTGTTCCGGGGGAGCGTCGATCTTGATCCGCACCGCTTTGAGGCGGACGTGGTCGGGTTGTAAGATCCACTGGCTCCCGGTGCTGCCATGTCTCCGCTTCCGGCGCTGTCCTGGCTGCACCCAAAGCTCGTAGACCAGTCGATGGTAAAGTCCGTCTGGGAAGGGCCTCCCTGGACGAGCATACTTTTCGGCAACTTTGAGACTCGGCGAGCAGAAGACACCGCAGACACTGTTGAAGTCATGTCCGAGCTCTTTGTCTTCGGACGCAAGCACCACGCCTGAAGCTGCCACCAGCCAGAGAGAGTACCACCAACTGCCCTGGTAGGCCGTCTCCCAGGTGGAGCAAACATCTTGGGCCTGGGACGTTGGTCTGTAAAGGTAGCGGTGCCAAAGGTCGCGTCGTCCTCCTCCAACATCGTGGTCCACTGTGTCAACATAATCCAAGCAGTCAAGTCCACGCGCCTTCTGCCATCGGCAAAACTCCGGTTGGACAAGCCTGTTGAAGACTTCCATAGCAAGGTTTGCACGGGCATCACAGTCGAGGTCAGCGTGCAAAATCTTCGGGAGTGGTGGCACACGGCGCTTCTTGCAGGACTTGTTCTGGTCCTTCTGATCTTTTTCCTCCTTCCGCCAGAGTTTTACAAGGGATCCCCGACATTCCGCTGCTTCGCGCAAGGCATCCGAGTGGTGGCAGAGAGTTGTGGGAGACTCTTCCATTTCCTTGCATCTGGATGTGCATATTGAGCCGACATACAGCAGGAACAAAGTGGATTCCGTAGGACGTAATTGACCCCTCAACTGTCTCCGTCGTTGCCGGCTCATTAATTGAATCGCCCTGGAGTCACGTCTGCACTTCCCGCCTCCACACCGTAGCCCATGAAGAAGCTGATGAGCTCCACATCTCCGAGCCCAGCTGCAGCGTGCAGAACTGAGTCCTTCATTTCTATTCATTTCGACCCTAGACGCTCCCTCCCGGGTCCTTTCTTCGGCTCTCCTGTGTCTCGGGGTGCGCGGCCGAGCAGAAGTCGATGCCATGCGCTGCCATGCATTGGATCATGGCCTAATCATTCTCTAGCATTGAGTAAACGGGCAGCTTCCATACAGTCTGAGAAGCTCACGGCGTCCCGGCGGCCCACCGCATCCAACAAGCGCGCGCCGTCCGTCCACTGCTCCACGTGGCTCTCCTGAAAGGCCCACCCCCTTGTTAACTGCATCCTCCTGCGTACAGGTGTTTCGGATATCCCCGATGGCATAAAGACACACAGCTTCCGCAACTTGCGTTGTCCCCAGACTCAGGCAAGACCAGACAGGCAGCACAGCTTCTCCTTGTCCCGGACTGCGATCACTTCGTCACAAGCCGGGCACCTATAGTTGTTGCCTGAGCAGGCAGCAACACTGGCAGCGCACATATCAAAGTCGGTATGGGATGAGCCGAGTCCCTAGCGGTAGCAGAAGACGCTGTGCGACACCAAGTTGGCTGTCGGAATCTCTCGACCGCAGTTGCCGCAGACAGACGTCCCTGCAACTGCGAAGTTGCAAGTAGAAAGTCTTAAAAAGAGTGGATCCAGTCGCCTGATTCCTTTCCTCCACCTGGTTCCTGTGCAGCTGAGGCCAGGATTGTGCGAGAGCCGCGAAAGAATCAGAGGATGCCCTTGCCTTGTTGTCCAAGTCGAGCACTTCAGGAGCCCCTGCGAGAGGGAGCTTAGAGGGAATCCGAAGGATGAGAGGATGTCGCAAGGCTACTCTTGAAGAGGCGTGCCTCCCCGGACAGGCAAGCAGTGTTTCCCCCGTGCCTGACAAGCATCACAAGGTCGCAACGGGACGGGCTCCGCGTGAACTCCACCTGCTCTGATCTTTTAGCTACTTCGCTGCTCTTCGCGCTCTTCACAAGGCCTGCTCTTTGGGCACAAAAGACTACAAAAGAAGCTCCCGGAGACCGGAGTCCGGAGTCAAGAGTTTCGGAAGCTGCTCTGCACTGCTACACTGCTACTTCGCACGATAGAACGGAGATGCCTTGATGGCATCGATGAATGCAGGGCCTTCCTGTTCCTGAACCTTTGCCTTGAGGGTTTCTGGAGTATCGGTAGGCTCCACGGCCACCTTCCGTTGCACCACCACGGGTCCACCGTCCACCTCCTCTGTGACCAGGTGCACAGTGCAGCCGCTCTCCGTCTCCTTGGCCTCGATCACGGCCTTGTGCACCTCCAGGTCCATGCCACCAGCGTGCTTTGGGAGGAGGCTGGGGTGGATATTGATGCAGCGCCCTTCCCATTCCCTGCAGAACTCGGGGCTCACAATGCGCATGAAACCACAAAGCATCACCAGCTCGACGCCCTCCTCACGCAGGGCCGCTGTCACTGTGGCATCATACTCGGCCCGCGGCGTCCCCTTCTTGCAGGGAAGGTGGACGGCCTTCACGCCTTCCGTCCGACCTCGCTCCAGGATGCCCGCATCTCCCTTGTTCGAGATCACCACCACGATCTTCGCGTTCAGCTCCCCGTTCTTGATGGCATCGAAGGTCAGCTGGGAGGATGAGCCGCGAGTCGAGCCAATGAGCCCGATTCGAAGGGGTGCTGACTCCGCCATGGGTCTAAACACCCTTCTGCTTTGCCTAATCTCGGAACCCCGTGAGACCCCCTCAAGTTTCAAGTTTGGCTAAGGCAGTGACAATCTCTCGAGGAGAAACTCTGAAAAATGCTTGCCCTGACTCATCTCAGCAACAGCCCTCACCTACCTTGATTCATCAGCACCAGAGTCGGCTTTGCAGTGCTCTGTGCGTTTACGCGTGCTCACGGGTCACGTGTCATGCCTGCGCTGCACATGGTCAACGAATATGCTGATCTCAGCCTCGATCCTGTCGATGACCGCTGCCGTTTGAGGACGGCTTTGTGCATCATTTGATTCTAGCTCCTCCGAAGGATCTGCTGCACTTACTGCTGTCTGCGTCACGATAAACGAAGGAGTCCTTTATTCTGTTGAGCAGAATCTGCGTAGTGGACCGAAAATTGTCCACCATGTCATCTTTCTCGTTCTGCAGAGCCTGAACCTCAACGCGGCTGGACTTGCACGCACAAGCCTTGCACATCTCTGGCATCACTGCAAGAACACACAAAGCACCTTTGGCAAGAACAGTGCTGGAGCGGTGGCCTTGCTGCGGAGGCGGCGCACTTCCGCTTTTAGCAAGTTCAGCTGATTGCTCACCTGCGTGTCGAGGAGTGACCTGTGCATCGTGTGTAGCAGCGCAAATGTCGAGTGTCGCTCAAGCAACGACACACCTCAAGGGAAGCCATGCTCATCAGCATCCTGAAACTTTGCGCTGCCTTGCCAAGACATCGCCATGAAGCGATTCCAGTACTCCACGATCTTCATCCTTAGGCGAAATGGCCAAGCAAGTGTCAAAGCGTCATAGTGTGAATGCAATCTGCCTCGTCATCCTCGTCAGCCTGGTCACTGAGTTCCTCGAGTGACGTATGCTTCGGAGAAGTGAACTCAGAGGACCAAATGACCTGAAAAACCAGCTCCTCGTACATCAACTACAGGTCGACGAGGAGAGCTGCGGCGGCTTTCGCCGGGCTTCCACGGCTGCACCCACAGCGGCGCATGGCGACGCTGCAGTTGCGATCTTCTTTCAACGAGACAATCATCTGACAGAGTGCCTATTGGGAACGCTGCGGCCTGGTTGGAATGATAGCAAGTAAAAGGTAAGACCGAGTTCTCACAGGTTTTGAACATCAGCTCCGGAAAAACAAGTTTGGAGTTGTGCCAGGGGAGGCCTCTGAGACTCTCCTCGCTTTGCGGCTTTGCCTTTCCTGCCTTGAAGGCCATTTCTGAGCTCCGGGCCAAGCCCCCCCGGGCCCGGGCCCGCCGAAGCCGTCTCTGACAGTGCAAGATCCTGGTCACTGCAGGCTGAAACGTGCGTCGCGCGCGCGCTGCGTCTGAGCCTTGGGGCCCAAGCCGGAAGCTGTTCACACGCAAGGAGAGCCGTACTCAGCGCAGCGACATCCCAGGCCAGGCCCTGCTGAAACAAAGACTAAAGACTCGTCCGCTCGCCCGGTCATCATTGAACACAGCCTGATGGCGGATTTCCTCTAGGATGCGCAGCGCTAACCTGCAAGGGCTTGGAGCTGCCAACATCGGGAATCAGATATGTAGGCTCAACGGCGGTGTGGATCTTTGAGCCTTTCTCTGCCAGCTTTCTGGCACGCGCTGGCCACTGCTGTAAAGGTTTGCCTTAGCTGGGCTCAGTCTAGCAAAGATCTCAACACAACCCTTTAGGCCCCAGGTCGTAGGTGCTGATGCACTTTCATTGTCACAATCAATGCTAAAGGCCCGGCTCGTTGCACAGCAAACGGTCCTCACAACCCACACGTCGCTGTCTTGTGCTGTATAACCGTTAAGCACCTGCATGTGACATCAACGGCGCCCACAGACAAATCAAGACTTTAAGAAGAACCAAGCAGACAGGTCATGATCAAGACTTTCAAAAGAAACCCAGAAATTCTTACTAGCCCAAGCGGGGGATGTGTCCTATCTATTTAGCCCTCCTACTAGCCCTGCCACTCCTCCTGCATTCGTGAAACCGCAGCGAGCGAAGCGGACCATCGTAAACCTGTCGGGATCCGTCCCCCCACAACACGACAGAGCACGGAGCACTGCGAGATCTTGCAAGAGTTGTGCCTTCCTCGAAGGCAGTGACCACAGCCGTCACGGAGATCTTCGCACGGACGCAAGCGACCCCCATCTCCAGCTTTGAATGCACTGCGCTGCAGGCCACGTCGGCTCGAAGCCCTCGCTGCTGCAGGCTCTGCAATGCCTGCACTTCGTGACGACAAGGGCGCCGAGCTGTGCCGCATTCGTCTCAGCAGTCGCTAGCAGCCTCCATTGCTGAGGACCAAGGAGTGCTGGAAAGCAACCTGTCTGAGCCATGGGACATGGGATCCGGACAGGACCAGAAAAGTCCGCCAGTGAGTATGCCGATGGGACGCGCGTTCCAGGTGATGAGGTCTGGCAGCGTGCTTTGCGCTGCCAAGGCCTGGAAGCAGGATCCCTCTTTATGGGACTGTGAGCAGACTTCGCTGAGAGAGCTGCGAAGCCCAGTGTTGCCAAGGCCTGGCACGTCGGAGCAGTCTGTGGGCACGAGAGCCGCAAGAAAGCCGCCAGACGACGCCTGTTGCCACATGGAGTCGCAGCCGCTGAGGGCCGCGTTGAGCACGTCCAGGTCCAGGTCGAGGCCTGTGCAGGAATTCCCAGGACCTCCAGGCGGAGCCCGGGCCGAGCCTTGCGCCTCCTTCTTTCACCGAGCCACCCGAAAGTCCCGTAAGCCGACTTTGGTGCAAGAGCTCCAAAGCCCAAGCCTCAGAGCAGCTCAGAGCTCAAGCTGCAAGCTGCAAAACATCGGCCACTGGGGCCCCGGACCCAGCGCAGGGCATCGCATGCCGCAATGGCCGACACGAAACCACAGAGCTGGTTCTTTCTATCTGGGCTTCCATCCAAGAGTCAAACATCACTCAAAGCCGCGAGCCATCCAGGACCCCAGCACTGCAGCGTGATCTCGCCTGACCTCGGCAATACCCAGGCTGCGAAGGCTCTAAAAGTCGCCTGGGCTCGACCGGAGCTGCGCACCGTCTGGCCCAGCGAGGACTCAGCCTGAGACAAAAGCACCAAGCAAGCAGCATGAACACCGTTCCAACCATCGAAACACCAACCGGCACTGGAAAGTCAGTCATGATCATGTCCTGACAAATCCATCTCCCACCCGTGCTGAATGAGCTTGAAAACCCAGCACCATGTACCTGAGAATGCATCAGCTATGCGCTGTGCAAGCGCTTTTCCTGAGTAGCCCGACAGCACTGCGATGGACTCTTCCCAGAGGAAGGCCTCAAAAAGAAGAGAAGTGTAAGAAGAGTTTCTGATTCTGATGAGACTTCACACAAATCGACTTCTGCGCTTGCCAACCTCGGCGGCGGCAGCGACTGCTGCGCTGCGCGCCCCGGAGCCCAGTCCAGGCAAGCCGCGCCTCTCCAACAGAGAAAGCAGGGACGCAAAGTCTGCTTGCCTGAGGCTACCTGGCTACCTTCTCCCCCAGGCCAATCGCTCCAGGGAGCTGGTCCAGGCACCGGGCGACGCCACCTTGAACCCCTTTCCCTTTGACTCCCCGCCAGGCCAAACCCCAAATGCGGAAAGAAACAGAGAAAAACGGAGCAAAAACTGGGTTCCCAGCAGCGGCCACGAAAGCCACGGAGTCGAGGCGGAGCCGCGTGCGGCAGCAGGCCTCTGCGGTATTTCGTGAAGCTCCTCTCTGCTGGTGCCCTCTCGAGTCTCGCTTGGGCCTGAAGCTGCTGAAGCCCGTGAACCCACGTGTTGGGAGCCTCAGCAACTCGACTCACCCGGTTCCGTCGGAGCCACTTCAAGCAGGGAATTCCAAAGGGCAAGCAAAGCAACTTTTCAGCTTTCGGCTATTTGGGCGGTCAGCACCACGACCTGCAACGCAGCGTCTCACTCCGCCGTCTCAGGTGAGGGTTGTTCACAGGAACGAGCACGTGACGTAGCGGGAACCTTTTCTCAGGAACCGACCGAGACGAAACAGGTACCAAGGGGACATGCAACTGGAACTGGGTTGGGGCTAGCAGCTGTAATCAGCGGGAGTTGTAACGGAAAACAACCAGACAACGAAACCGAAACCGGCCGGGTGTTGGGTTGAGACTTTAAGTTACAGCGCTTACTCCTAGAGGGCCCTTCCAGCTCCTCTGCAAAGCCCTCTGCAAGCCCTCTTAGAAGCCTGCCACAAGCTGTCAAAAAGCCTTTATAAGCCCTCAGAAAGCTTTACAACCCCAATAAGACCCATATAAGCTTACAAGTTCACGCTCTCAGAAGCCCCGTTGAACGCTTTACGAACCCTGTAAGCCCCTTGAAACCCTCAGCCTGAAGAAACACTTCAGAAGCCCAAACCTTAGACCCTTTAAACCATAAACGCCTGACCCTTAAACCCTAAACCCCAAGACAAGGGCCTTACCTCTCCTCTTCCTGTCCCCTTCCTCTTCCTCTCCTCTTTCCTCTCCTCTTCCCCTGCTCTCCTCTTCTTCTCCGCTCCCCAAACTCTACATCTTAAACCCAAAGTCCAGCCCCCCATCACTCATAAATTCAAGAACTTCTAACAGTTTATCATGAGAGCTCTACTTTCCTCTATATTCGCACACTCCCGCCAAGAACCAACCCCCTCTTAATACACCCCAAACCCTACACATATATCAATGTATCATATACCCCATACCCTAAACCCTAAACCCTAAGCCACCTTGAACCCTAAACCCTTAACCTTTACAAACCCAGCGGTTTATTCTCATTTCACAGGAATCCTCATACAACCCGTGGTTTCTTATGGCTCTTGCTGTAAGACTATGGTTAACGAACAGACCAAACCATAAGCCCAAAACCCTAAACCCTCACCTGCTCGCACACGAGGCGAACGCAAGGCAAGTGTTGGTCAGGCAGTTCCTGTTAAAATGCCCCAGTTCCTGCTACAGCAGGCCTGGTTTTTGAGACAGTTTCGAGCCAGTTCCTGAAATTAAGCTTCCTGTTACAACCCCCTGGTTCAGGTTACTTAATTTACTCGTGTGGCGAAAAGCTCTCTGAGACTGCAGCATTTGGCAGCAGCATCTTCGTGCTGGCGATCGAGAACAATTGCAAAGGCAATCGCCAGCTGCCTCACACGGGCATCGGACCCGCAGGCCCACAGCAGCGCCAAACCCACTCCCACGAAACATCACGACATCACTCTAAGAGAAGCCGACAACAGCAGTGTTTGTACATCTTGAGCCTGAACAACTTTGGGATGTCTTCAATGTGTGCAACAAGCCGACGCGGGAAATCAGATTTCAATGTAGACCTCAGACATGCGACTTTTCTGCCGTGGCCCCCTGGCGGGCGCGAAGATGCCCTGGTCTCAAGGTCTGTTCCTGCCATTTTCCTTATGAGGCTTGACACAGAGAGAATGTGAGAGTGAGAGCGAGAGTGAGGGCGAGAGTGAGAGTGAGAGGGAGTCTGAGGGTGAGTGTGAGCGTGAGTGGGAATGTGTGAGAGTGTGTGGGAGTGATACAGTGACAGAGTGACAGAGTGAGTGTGAGAGTGCGAGAGTGTGAGAGTGAGAGTGAGATCTCTGGGCTATGCTGTTGGTGCTTTGTTGGGAGTCAGCCGGCAATGTTTGCTGGAAACCCCATGAACACCCTTGCTCTTGCTCTCCTTCCTTGCTGCCTTACTCAACGGTCCGCTGAAACTACATCGGGCGCTCGACAAGTGCCTCCTCAGCTTCGCCCTCCGACGCTGATGCATGTCCCATATGCTGTCGTGTTGCCCCCCCTCCCCCCCTTACACCGCGTCGTCGGTTTGGCCTCGTCACCTTGTGGTGTGGTGGTGGGTTATGGGTGTAACCGACCCATTCCTGGTATGGTCTGCTGTGGTGTCGGTGGGTTTGGGTTGTTTGACCGCCATCGTCCCCCTGTGGTGTGGTGGGGGGTTTTGGGTCCTTTATCCCCCCTCTCCCCCCCTGCGGTGTGTGTGGTGGTGGGTTGTGGGTTTCAGGTGTTGCAGAAGCGTGGGCACCAGGTGCTCATGAGACAGGTTTGGCACGCGCTGCCGCTGTCACAGGGAAGGCTGCGGAAGTAAAGCCCTTGGGTCACGACATGGAAGTCACGTTGGAGCTGCATTTCAGATCTTTTATCATAGCATGCTGTATAGAACATTTGAAACAACAGCCTGCACTTTGTACACCCAGCAGGATGACTCAGATAGCATGCAACTCAGCACTTGTGTGTTTGTCGCGAAAAACCGAAATTCGTCCGAGTGCTTTGCTGATGGTTCCTTGACGGATTCTGCAGGAAGCCTCGAAGCCTCTGAAGCCAATCGGCTTCATCAGGTTTAGTGAGTTTAGTGTTGAAGCCCCTCCCCCTCCCTGTAGTGTGGTGGGTGGGTGTTGGGTTTAGGGTTTGCACCCGCAATTTTATGTGGTGCGTGGTGCGGGGGTGGGTTTTGGGCTTTTCTATCCCCCCTCTCCCCCCTGTGGTGTGGTGTGCTGTGCTGTGGTGGTGGGTTGTGGGTTTGACCGAAACAATGGCCAATCTAGGTGAGTGTCGCCACCGTGGACACGCGACGAAGTTGCATAGCTTCAAAAGCCACAACACTTACGAAGTTCGGGGGGCCCATCCCTGTGACTGTTGGCACTTTTTGAGACAAAAGTGACGACCCTCACGAGGATTTCGGGTGCATACCATCCTCTGCTTCTCTGACTTCTGCGTGCCTCGTCCGCGGCCGGCGGCTGTGAGGGCTGCGCTGCAAGCGACGGCATCCTCGAAGGCACCTTCTTGGTCGCGCAGAAGCCTTCAGAAAGATTTCAAGAGGCCGAGTCCGAGCTCTTCGCAGATCTGCGGCCCGTTCTGGGGCCAAGGCAGCAGAGATCCTTGCCATTTCAAGAGGCCGGTCTTGTCGGACGCAACGGTGGTGCCTGCCACAGGCAGAGAGCACGGCACCGCTGCGACCGAGACGCACTGGGACGCACTGGGCCCAGGCGCGAGACAGCGTTCGGGAGCAAGGCAAAGGTGGCCAGGAACGAGAAGAGCTCGAGCGCCTCTTGCAGCAGACGAGCGCAGCGGAGAGCGAAACTTGCCCTCCGCCACAAGAGGCCAACCCGCCTGCAGCCAGCGAGCTGCCTTGCTGAGGCCAGAAAGTGCCGAGTTGAAGCTGACCAAGTCCAGCTGCTGGAGTTGGGACCTCAGATCCCGCTGAGCGCGGCTCGCAGATCACAAAGGTATGCGGCACGCGCTGGGGCCACAGCCGGAGCTGAAGCAGCATGAGCTGCCAGCGACCATCTCTGGCGAGTCCCGCGAGCATCTGAGCACATGCAGCACGGCATCTGCTGCCTGGCCGGCAAAGGCACCACCAGAGCCTTGTTGACGCCGAGCAAGCTCACCTGCAGACCAAGAGAGGCAGGGCCGGCTGGGGCGCTGGACGGCTGGGGGCTGCCCAGATTGGGCCTGAGTTCGCATGCTGCGCTGGACCTCATGCAGAATGACGCTGAGGGCGTGCCACACTGCGACAGCTGGTGACGGCCTGCCTCCAAAGCAGCAGCTTGCCATGTCGGCCATGTGCGGCTCCGTCGAATTCCAAGTCCCTGCACCGACGTGGCATATCCCACTTAGAACTTCACAGCGTCGCAGCCTGTGGAAGCGCCTTTTTCGGGCCAGCGGTGTTCATGGGTGCACCCCATGGCAGGGTTCCGATTTCTGGCTCTACCTGCCTTGCCACTGCGATCTTTTTTAACGCTGAGACCATGTGGGCAAAGCGATGCAAAAGCCATCATGATTCAGCATGATGCATACATGCACAGAACGTCCAACTCAGCTGGCTCCCTGCACATTTCTCTCCGGGTATGCACGCACTGGCCTCTGCTGCCTGGCTTGGCCCCGCTAGAAATTCACGCTGATTGTGCTCTGCGGCACTACGGCCTGCTACGTCGTAGATGCTACGTGCAGTTGCAAACTCCGGTCTGTCCACATGCATGCAGTCTTTGTTGCGGCAGTGTATGCACGCGGCTCGGAAAAATGCATGATCGGGCTCGCGTCTGCACCTCGGAGATCGCCTGAACAGGGAGGCGAAGCCAGAAGACATGGACACACTTCGAGTGAACCGCCTCACATGCGGAGCAGATACCAGAGCGAGAACAAGATGAACAGCGTGAGGGCCATCCTGAAAAAAGCGCAAAGCAAGCGGAGGAGCGCCCTCCACAAAAGATGTGCCAAGCATCTGACCCGCCGTAGACCAGCCACTTGTCCCCGGTCTGTCTTCGGTCAATTACGTTCACTAGGCTCTGCGACACCTGTGTCAAGCATTGTGGCTGCACTGTGCTCGGCCACTATCAGAAGAACGCGAGCTGGAGGCTGCGTGCCCCAATGCTGTTCGCCGCGTCCAGGAGCTTCCGCCGCGCATTCTTCAGAACTTTGTTCTGGCTCACCTCGAGAAACAACTAGGACTATACAGGCCCTAGGCCCAAACAAACCTACGCCCAAGGTCGAACCTCTCGTTTGTTTTCTCTGGGAGCCCGACAAGGTTTCCGAAGATGGAGCCTGCTTGCTCCAAGACTTCATCAAGGGCAGCAGCGGAGTCTCGGAGCGAACGATTCTCCCGCACCAAGCCCTGCCGAAATCGCGCGAAATCACAGGCATGGCATGACTTGCACAAATCTCTTTGGCCTGCGTCTCATCGTCAGGGCCATCTTTCTTCTTTCTGTCACCGAGGAGCTTCTTGCGATTCTCCTCTTCTCTCTTCACCTTAATAAGTAGGCCCAGCCGTCATAACAATGCGTCCCACGGTTGAGAAGCTTGGATGCCGGCTCGATAAAACGCTCCCAGCTGCTTGTCCACAGCATTCTGGATGACCGACCTCACTGAAAGACTCGTGTAATGCGGCAAACTTGGAAGTTCAGCAAGCCTTGAGCTGGGTATGGCACACGTCCTCCTCTAGTCGCGTAGTCTTTCTGTCCCAGGCCGCGCGCCCTTTTTCAGGCATCGCGTCCACCTGAATGACGACCAGGGCCGAACATCCAATTCGTGCACGGGCCGCGGGCCGCGCCTCTTCTCGGACCCTCTGAGTCGTGTTGGTTAAATCTGCAAAAAGCGCTGCGAGACCTGCGGGATCCAGACATGGTCCAAAATGGACCAAATGCCTTCTTCGAGCTCCCTGCGCTGCTGCATGGCAACATCGGAGCCCGCCTGAACAGAACCGAAATCGCATCTGCATCGCGTTTTGTGTGTGTCAGGTCCACGCTCTTGGAAGATTCGGCCTTGTTGGCAGCAAATCCTTCCAGAGTGGAGTCAACATCCCTTTTGAGCCTTGCAGCTGTATCTGTGGCCGCTGTTCAATTCAACACTCTGCGTTGCTCAGATCTTGACGTCTCGGCTTTGCGGAGCAGTGAGCTCACATCCCCTGTGGCCTCACGAAAACAGAAGTGATTGGAAGTGGGACCAACGGGTTTCTGCCTCCATGCCGACACCGGGGTCCAAGTAACGCGATCGGCGACTCGCTCTGAAACTCCCGTGGCTTGAGAAGCTATGCTGGAGTCCACCATGCAATGCCTATGACCTACGATAAATCCACGACTGATCCATGACATCGTCTATGTCCCACGGCCCAAAAAGAGCTGCAGCATGCCACACAACACGCAACTTTGAGCAGGACTGGATCAGCAGGACCAAAAGCGATTGCAGGGAAGTGGGCGGTTCTCGCACCTTTGCCATTGCATGGCCTGTGCCTGCGTGTCCACGAGCCTCCACTGGAAGTTGTGGTGGAATCTGCGGCTGTGCCGGGGACGGACGCCCATGAGCGCTGGGGGCGGCTGTATGGTCGGGAAACTGCAGAGGTGTTGCATGCTGAGAGAAGTGCTGTGTCGGTGTGTGGTGGTGTCCTGCCTTCGCGGCACATGATCCTGGAGTGTGCGGGTGCTGATTGGAGCTATGCGTGGCATGCACTGGCAGCGCCTGTGCCGGCTGAGTGGCATTTAGCTCGTGATGCCCGCTTTGTGGGGGACCCGACTGGAGCGGGTGAGTGGGGTGCAGCTTGTCCAAATGCTGCAACAGTTCCTGGGGATGCCTCAGCTTTCAGATCCGGGCGAAGCTCGGATCTCGAAAGACAGAGAGCTGCGACATGTCTGCTCCCCAAGCTCGGAGCATCCGAATGGTGCCTGGCTCGGACGGCAGGGCCTGCAAACGAACAATCCAACTTCTTCAAAGCTCATGCAACGGAAACTGCCTGCAAAGCCATTTGATGGCCCCCAACATCTGGAACACGCGGGCCCTGCATTCGATCTTATTGTTACGTGGCTACACAGAATCAAAAAGCTAATTTAATCAGAAAGCATTGGCTGTCCTCCGCTTGCCCGAGCTTTGAATACAGTCCCGCCTGACGCTGCACCAATCAATGTTTCTGCCAACACCGGCACACCGAAAACATGCAGCATTTCGCATACGAACTGATGGTGTAAGCCATGTCACTGGCAACGACTTCGTGGCATGGGTGGCATCGACCATGCCAGCCCTGAAGCTGCAGAAGTCTTCGGAATGAGCCGGAATGTAAGTAAAGAAACTCAGTGCTCCACGACCCAAGCCGAGGCGGCAAATGCATGCTCTGAGCCATGTTGGTGCAAGTGTCCGAACTTGAATTGCCGCATGCTGACACTCCCCTACGCCTGCACAGAATAATGAGATTGTTGAGACCATGCTGCTACGAAGCCGTGTGATGGTTACAGCGATGCAAATATTGCGGATAATGTTGTTGCTGGTGCCAGGGTACGATGTGTTGCAGATGCTTTGGCGAGCGCATCTTTGGAGAACATGGCCAACATGCCAGAATCACTGTAAGTGACGCCCTGTGCAAACGATTGGTTGGAAACCACTGTCAAGACATTGTGTGGGCCGTGCTCACTCACACACCACCACGGAGGTTGACACTGGTTGAACTGACTGTGTTTGGTGGCTATCGTGCGTGGGATCCTCTTTACAGTCCTTACACCATCGACCCAGCCATACAAGGGCAAAAAAAGTCTAAGTCCATGTCCCCACTACGCTGGGAACTCCAGATCACGTGCCATTGTCGGCACATGCAACACGACGTTAGTTAAGCAAGACACTCAGACATCGAATACCGAGCCCGCCGCAGTGTGTTTGCAAGGTAAACCCAAACAGAAAGTGGAACTTTGACATTGCAATATTGTTGACTGTGCGGGTCTGTTTCTTGATATCCAAAAACTGTTGCAAATAGTCGCAAGTCGCAGACTCTCTCTTTCTTTCACCATGACCAGGCTTGAGGGCACGCCCCGCGCGGCACGCCTGTAGGTTGGTGGCGCGCACGGTCTCAGGAGCATGTTGCTCCGACTCCCCGCAGGCAAAGATGCAAATGAAAGCAAGTATATAAGTCTGATGTTGCATCTGCTTGGTGCGCGCCGTGACATGACAAGGGGTGAATGCTGGCCTCGTTTGGCAACCAGAGGTAGCAGTTACAGAAAAGTGCAAGTCCATCGCTACTTAGTGCAGCTCGCAAGGCACGTATCCATGCAGAAATTTGGGTCCGAGGACCTGGTGGCGTGTTTTTTCGCGTGTTCGTGTTTTCACTTGCACTCTCAGATGGGCTCAGGAAGCTCTTCGCTTCCCGCACATTGTTTTAGCAGCATACAACATTTTACGACGTAGTGTGAATTGACAACACATTCCACCAAACCATTTCAAAATGTTTGTGCATAACCGAACACCAGTTCGAGAGAGAGATAAAGTTATGGGACAAACTTTCAAGGACATAAGGGCATGGCCTTAAGGTGTGGCTCTAGGACTCTAGGCCTTGGAGTGTGGAGGCCTGGAGGCCTGGAGGCCTGGAGCCCTGGAGCCCTGGGGGGGGGGGGGGGGGCCAAAAAATACAAAACAAATCTGGTGTGCAAAATCTATGGTCCAATTTTTTTTTTTTTCGCCCCCCCCCCCTCCCCCCCGCCCCCAGGGGCCTTCTGGACGGAGATCCGGAGGGCGCATGTCTGTAAGCAGAGGATGCCTGGGGCCTTCGGCCTTTGGCACTCCCAATCCAGTGTTACTCAATCATTTCAGGGTTTCTAGTATGCCACCAATCCTGTCCTATCCAATGAAACATCCCTCTGTCAAGACTTTACGCTTGCTATTGTTGTCCACCACCTAGGAAAGCGGCTCCAACACCTGAAAACGGTGACATGGGTTACTGATGACACTCATACATGACAGAAGTATGATGGGTAATTCATTGTACACAATAAAAGTATGATGGGAATAAGATCCTTGTACCGCGACCCAAGTTCAGAAGGAGTTATTGGGCCTCGAACCCAAATGCATATGATGGTCTTAACCGTCTCAAGAGATGCTGGGTGGCGAACCCAAAACCTTGGACTGAAAGTCGAAATTGGCTTCCAACATTCTTGGACATCGTAGAAGATATTGGACCCTCATCCGGAAACTTAGACAATGCCAGCAAAAATTGCAAGCTACAAAATACTTGTTACATTTGAAGCGGAACATATATAATTACCTGCAAGCCAACCTTGGTATACATATAGGTGTTTGTACCTACATATATATATATATATGTATATATGTATCTATATATACGTCTGTGCATGCATGTTGGTATATGACATGCAGGCATGCATACACACCTACATATAAATGTGTATGTTTACATACACATATGTTCATGCTGTTTCCATGTTCATGCTTCTGCAAAACTTTTGCACACATACATATATGCTTAATACATATGAACATACACGGGGTTATACGTACATACATAAGTATCACGGAAGCATGTGCAATATTTCTGAAATATGCGAACATATGTGTATGCAACAATGAGGCATTTAGGCAGCCATGCACTCAAAGGAAAATGGAGGGCCTCAGGCTCCTATCCCAAACCGCTAATGGGCGTGGTGGGTAGAGGATGCGGAATCTCAATTCTCCTAAAAAGATTGTTTCCTTCGGATCAGAGCATACCAAGCAATGGACGTATGCAAATGATCGTTAGCGATATTTCGCCAATTCCAATAACTATAAAAATCACTCACAATATATACTGGCATATAGCCTTCTCAAGTGTTAATCCAGCACAGCTACTCACAGCACTCGCAACGCTCCTCAACTTTTTTATTGAAAGGCGGGGGAGAATCGCGGTGAAAGTCAAAGCCCACAACAGACCGATGCCACAACGGGTATCTCCCAGCATCAACAGTCTTGGGCGCACCCTCACCCCCACTTTGGGTCGGGCGGGCGGGAAATGCAAAAATTTTGCCCCACCTCCGGAACTTGAGATATCAAGGCAGCACGGGGCAAAATTCATAAGCCATGCGACATGTTAACAGCACAAGCTCATGTCACATGCAGAAGAACCCTTCTCCAAAAATGAACTTCGAGTTTTAGCCACGCCCAAAAACGGGCACTAAAACAAATGGAGAAAGGAAAAACTTTTTATGGAGACAGTGGCGTCGTGAGGCACGAAACTTCCTTCTCCTACAAAGATTGTTTCCTTCGGATCAGAGCATACCAAGCAATGGACGTATGCAAATGATCGTTAGCGATATTTCGCCAATTCCAATAACTATAAAAATCACTCACAATATATACTGGCATATAGCCTTCTCAAGTGATCCAGCACAGCTACTCACAGCACTCGCAACGCTCCTCAACATTTTTACTGAAAGGCGGGGGAGAATCGCGGTGAAAGTCAAAGCCCACAACAGACCGATGCCACAACGGGTATCTCCCAGCATCAACAGTCTTGGGCGCACCCTCACCCCCTCTCCTTTCTGCGCCTGCTGAACAAGAGGGACTCGAGCTCGGCCTCTGTTTCGAAAGCCCGGCAGGAGCTGGTCTGTGTAAGGTGCAAGGCGTCCCCAGGCACGCCCCTTGAAGGGCCATCAGCAATGTTCGAGAAAGAGGGCACGCGCTCGATCCACAAGTAAGCTGGGTGATCCAAGTTGGGGTGATCCCAAGCCTGCACCAGCCGGTTCATGCTGTGGCTGCTGCTGCCACCTTTGATGGATGCGAAGCGTGCCGCTTCGTTGTCACAGAAAATGATGACCCTACGGTGAGTCCATGCTTCCTTTTGAAGGTGTCTGATGAGTGCCATGGCGTACAACTCAACCTGCGATATTATTTGCTCCTGAGTGTGATCTTCGGTTCTCAACCACAGCGCAGTGATGCTGTTTGGGATGCGGCCAGCCCAAACAGCACCCTTCGATGCTATGGGATCCCACTCGACGGCCCCTATGCCCGCCTTTCCACTTTCCCAAGAGCCATCGGTCCACACCAGAACTGGCTGGCGCACTCGATTGCACACTAAGGTCCGGGGTGGGGTGCTCTGAAGGATGATGGAGATGCGGCTGCCCAACTCGTCCAAGGAGTCCTTAGCTGAAAGCCAATCCTTGCCCAAAAGATGATTCAAGTCATAGGCCACATGTCGCAGGGCCCGTCCAGCAAAGAAGCCGGAGGCAAAATTCAAGTGTCCAATGAGGACCTGCAGAGATTGCCTGAAGCTCCCATTTCCCAGGGATGCCGTCGAAACCTTTTCAAGAATTTTCTCTGCCCTGCCAACCTTATTTGCTAGAACTATCTTCCCCGACAAGATCTCTCCCAAATCTAACCTAGTCCCTAGGACGTCGGAGGAACTGTCAAAGGGCTTGCCCTTTGACCCGGACTTTGCATGCCTCCACCCCAGCAAGTCCAGCAGCTGGGATACATCTTGGTCCACGGACGCAGCTGACGACGCTGGGTTAAATAACGGGTAGTCATCGAAATAACAGGCACATGGCACTTTCAAGCACTTATTTATTATCCACCACAGCGATCGACTCACCCTTACAAACGCAAACACTGATGCCGAGGCTCCGAACATCAGCGCATTGCAAATGTGGTAAGTTGCAACTCCATCATGATCCTGAATCATGATGACACACAGGTCGCGATCTCGTGGATGGACTGCCATTTGTTTGTATGCTTTCGAAAGATCTAGGCACTTGCCATGCCACGGCATGCGCCTGTCGGCCTTGAGGCCCTGCAATCGTTCGGCGATGAAGAGGGCCAGGGAGGCCACATAGTCTGAGTCGTGAAGCTGCAGAGCAATTGTGGAGGTATAAGCCGCATTGATTTGTGCCTCCAAGCAGTCATCTATGGGACGTACCTTGCGACCTCCGTCCTGAACCAGAACGAACCTTCCTACCACACCCCAATTCTCGTGACCGAAGAAGGCACTGACCTCTCCAGCAGTCATACCCCGTTGAAGGAAGCCAGCATCGACCTCCTCCGCAGTAGCCTGGGCCAGCAGGGAAGCATCCTCCTCAGAGGGGAAACTGCGCCCTAAACCCAACGAGCTATTCCTGCGATGCCGGGCCGAAACTCTAAGCTCCTCCTCCGATAAGGATGCAGGGGATACCTTCTTTGCAAAGTCCTTAGGATGTTCCTCACAACCGACCAACCTCACACCCTCCTTCATGAAGCGCACGCAATCAAGGTCGGTGTAGCCGGTCTCTTTCAAGAGTTCTTCCCAATCTAGCAAATTTTTGCCTTCAAGAACTTTCTGCATATACTTTGGCATGCCTCGGTGTAAGGCATCCTCTCGGG